TGGGTCGCGACCCCATGTTCAGTGGTTCGCTGCGTGCTTTCTACTGCACTAGGTGAGAGGCTCCTCAGCCTGCCTAATAGCGCAGCACTGTCAATTCTCATGCCGAGCAGCCATTCAAAATATGCTGCCCGGTGCTGAGTGTGAGCTTGAGGTGGGGTGGGCTGGAGGTATGGCCCCAAGGGAGCTCCATCCATGCGTGCAATGCTTAAAGCTTTTTTGCGTGACCAGAGTGGCACCTCTAAAGGGAGAGCAAGAGAGCTGTACAAGCAATGCACGTATGGATGCAAATCCATTACAGCACAGCAGCCCACACTGAATCCCTAAACATTTTTCTGGAGTGTGTATGTGTGTTTGAAAATGTCTGTGAGTGTGTGAGGTTGTGTCTGTGGTTGTGTGTGTCTGCCAGTGTTTTAATTGCAAACTACAACGCACTCACACCTACTGTTTTCTGGTGCGGGAAGTGCGTTACAATTCATTTGAACGGCACCCCAAACACACCTCACACCCACAGTTTGATCGCTTGCACCGGAACATGCGGTACTGCAATGCTGTGCCTTCCAATGTGGTGCGACTTGGGTTGCGAATTAATGACCAAGGACAAATTTGTGTCCTGAGGTTATACAGGTTGAGAACCACTGATCTAGAGGACAGTAAAAGGCTGTTTTACTTACCTGATCCCCGCTCCCCTGAAAGTTGGCACTCACCTCTTCTTCAGCTGGTGGACTGTCCTTCCGTGTCCTCCTGTACAATGCTGGGCTAGGGAACCTCTATTGGATTTGATGACATCAGTGGCCCTTATACCTCCAGAGCTCAGGGAAGAAGAGGTTGTGGGGACCGGTCCAGCAGCCCGGAGAGAGCTGGCAAGAGTGGGGATCAGGTAACTAAAACAGCTTTTTCCCTGTTCCCTAGGAGCAGCTAACCTTTGCAGTGCGGGCGTAACCACAAATTTTAATTTCCCTGGAGTCATCCTTTAAGTAAAGTCACAATGAAGTCAGAATTCTCGATCTACATAATTAGTTTGTCCGCTTACATCCAGCAGCCCATAGGGATGTATTGCAGTTCGTCTTTGATCCGTGTAGTCACAGGTCAAAAGCGGACTAAAAAAAGGGGCCTTACGCCTCATTGTTACCAACGCTCGGTTTGTATTGATGTCAAAAGCCAAATAATTAGTCACCGTTAACTCCTCAACACAACATGTAGATGCTAATCTTTCACCGATCAACGCAGAGAGGCTCAGAAAACAAGCGCTGCCTCCCAGCACAGCTTCCAAAAACACGAGCCCACCTAACCGTCCTCCCATTTCCACCCACTAGCACTGACTGATCCATTCATAATGCTTCTTCCTAATTCATAAACACACAGCAATCCCCTTTCATCTCTCCCAGCTACATCAGATCCCTAATACGAGCCTTGTTTCACAATATCCCCTCCCAAATCGTGTTCATTCAAGATTCCATTCTTTCAAATCCTTGCGCTGCACGAGATACGCTCTCTCTGAGCCCAAGCTGAAACTTCACAAGTACACACAATAATAAAAAGTCACTCACAGCTGGTGAATTATGGAGTGAAGGTTGAATGATGGAGTCAGGGTGGAAGTTTTCAACGTAATAAACCATAAATGGGAAATTGTTTCTAAAGTTATTTATAAATAGATACAAATTAAGAGGATTTGTTTGAAAGCAAAAAAAATGTATGCAAAGATAATGCATGGATGTGAATTAGCTTTCTTGTCCATTAACCCCAATAAAGAAGATATATGCACAACACATTCATTTACAATTAGCTCACACATGGTACCTAGAATTATCTTTAGCAATGTGATTGGATTTCACAAAACGGTCAATGATACCATACACTGTTCAATCCTATTGCAGGGTATGCAATGACAAGTGCTGGACAAGTCCCAGAAGCCAAGTCCCCAATGCTTCTTAAAAATTAAAGCTGGCTCTCAATGTTTAAGGTTTTCTCTATATGTTGTCAATGGAGCTGACTCCTAAAAAAACCTCCTGCTGGCTCCTGGATTGGACAGATTCATTTGTCCACCCCGGGAGTAAGAGTGACATATACCCAGCAGCTTGATCAGAAGATATGAGAGCAATCTTGAAGTTTTCTGCATTCTTGCAATGGGATTACATTCCCATATGAGCAGAATCACGCACTGAGGCATGTTTCCTATAACGTTAGGAATTCCAGTATCCTACAATAGAATTGCAATGTGTATGAGCTTTTTTTACACGGCTCGTTAGAAGGTAAACCTAGAAACTGATGTGTTTCTGCTTATGTGTTTTGGAAAGTATATATTCTCCAAAGCTGTCAAACTTATCCTTGCTTAGCTACTTGGCGCTCTGCTGACTTAAAACAAAACTATGCAGGTGAGGTTCCCCCGCAAATAATATAAAGATGCTTGTTCAAGGTCAATGTCTTCTCCAAGTAGTGCTGGAAGGATATGGATAACAAACCTTCAAATACAAGTCAGCAACAACTACTCCTATATTTTGTCCTGACAGGTGTCCCTTAAAGGCTTTTACCATTCAAACATGATAACTTGGCCATGCATGATCTAAACCTTCGCCTGTCTCATTTCACCTCTCAGGGAATCTAAACACAAGATATCCAAGAAAAGATTCAACTGGTAGAGTGAGACCCTCTTAGTAAAGTCAATGACAATAAGGATAAAGATAACACACCTTCAAAACAAGTCAACAACTACTCACATATTCTCCTCTGACAGGTTCTCTTTAAAGGCTTGTAACATTCAAAAATGATAACTAAGTCATGAATGGATAACACTGATCTGAACCACCCACTGGTTCATTTTACCTCTTAGGGATCTTAATCACAAGATATCAATGTAAAAGGTCTAATTTGAAGAGTGAGGCCCTCTTGGTAAACCCATGGCGATTAGGATAAAGATAACAACCCCCGGAGAACACACTTTCAAAAACAAGTCAGCAACGACTATTTCTATATTCTGTCTTGACAGGTTCTCCTTAAAGGCTTGTTCCTTTCAAAAATGATAACTTGGTCATTCATTGATAACACTTATCTGAACCTTCCTTGACTCATTTCACCTCTCAGGGAGTCTAATCACAAAATATCAAAGTGAAGAATCCAACTGAAAGAGTGAAACCCTCCTCGTAAAGTCAATGGCAAGTAGGGCAAAAGATAACAACCCTGGAGAACACACATTCAAAAAAAAGTCAACAACTACATCTATATTCTCTTCTGACAGGTTCTGCTTAATGGCTTGTACCTTATTAGAACCACATCTTGGGTCCTTTCATCTCTCAGGGACTTAATCACAAGATATCAAAGAGTAAGGTTTAACTGGAAGAGTGAGACCCTCTTAGTAAGTTCTATGGCAAGTAGGATAAAGATAACAACCCTGGAGAACAAACCTTCAAATGCAAGTCTGCAAAGGACTACTCCCATATTTTGTCCTCTTTAAGGGCTTGTACCATTCAAAATTGTTAACTTGGTTATGCATGGATAATGCTGATCTGAACTAACCCCTGGTTCCTTTCATATCTCAGGGACTCTAATCACAAGACATCAAAGTGAAGAATCCAACTGGAAGAGTAATGCCCTCTTAGTAAAGTCAATGGCAAGTAGGATAATGATAACAAACCCGAAGAACACACCTTCAAAAAAAAGTCAACAACTACTCCCATATTCTATTTTGACAGGTTCTCCCCTAAACGCTTGTACCTGATCTGAACAACTCCCTGGTTCCCCACACAAGGAGCAAGGTATCAAAATGAAGAATCCAACTGGAAGAGTAATGCCCTCTTAGTAAAGTCAATGGCAAGTAGGATAAAGATAACAAACCCGAAGAACACACCTTCAAAAAGGAGTCGATAACTACTAACATATTCTCTTTTGATAGTTTATCCCCTAAACACTTGTTCCTGATCAGAACCACCCACTGGTTCCTCACACGAGGAACAAGGTATCAAAGGGAAGAATTCAACTGGAAGCCCAAGACTCTCTTAGTAAAGCCAATGGCAAGTAGGATAAAGATAACAACTCCCAAGAACACACCTTCAAAATAAAGTCAAGAACTACTCCCAGATTCTCTTTTGAAAGGTTCTCCCCTAAACACTTGTTCCTGATCTGAACCACCCCCTGGTTCCTCACACAAGGAACAAGGAATCAAAGTGAAGAGCCCAACTGGAATAGCAAGACTCTCTTAGTCCATGGTAAGTGGGCAGAACCGGGAACTCAATTCTGAAGTCTCACTGTCCACAACTTAGCAGCCTCTACCCAAACAAATAAAGTTGGCTTCTGGGATTCCTGACTTTAAGGTCAATCTCAGAACTTTCCGTACGGGACAGTAGAAATTATACTTGACTGTTATGTAAGCTGCAAACGCAATGTTGTGATAAAACACTGCATGCAAATAGGAAACTAAGAGAGAGAAGCCAGAGACAAGCAGAGAGGAGGAGCAGAAGGGAATGATAGTTTCCATACACCGGTTAGCCAGCTGATATATTGCATTAATGGATCTCTTCATGTAGAGAAGAAGGGGGGCGAAGGCTTTGGGACTAGCCTGTGCACTGAAGGGCATTGTGCAGCTGAAATCTGAGTATGTTGTGTTCAGTGTACGCACTAAAGGTAATTATCACTACTGCATTATCCACAAGCCAAACCCTTATAGACTGCAGATCAGGACTAGTATAGGACACACAATGGAAGAACCACTGTGCATCATCAACATCATAAATATGCATAATAACCCAGCATGCATTAAGATCCATACGCAGCATGTGCTGGGGAGGATGAGTTGGGAAAAGAACCTCAAATATGCCAAATGTCAAATGTACCCAAAGGCAAAACAATGATTGCCATAAAAATCAAGTGACCCGCCAACATTCCAAATAATATGTCCTTACGTTCAATCACGCTGGTGAGATCGGAGCAGTCAAAAAAAATCCATCATGCAGATTTGCATTAGGATTATACATGTGTAGGATGGGATCAGATACAACAAACACACTTACTATGCTGCATAGGAGAAGTAGCAGGGTTGTCTCCATTCCTCCTGGTCCCATAGAGCTGGTGATGGTGTGGGTAGTGTAGTGACAGTCAGATGCAGAATGCAGCTCCACGATTCAGCTACACCTGCCCCTAAAGCCCTGACAAGCCATCCCCTTCTGTTTAAAGAGAACCATCCCCTTTAGCTGTCCTCCCACTGGCTGCACACAGCCTCCTCTTCCCTCCTCCCTCCCAGGGAACGCTTCCAGCAAACCAAAAGACTGATTGTCACGATTGGATTGAGGGAATAATGCTTGGATGGGAGCCCCAAAAACACTTAACTGCTAATTACCACAGAAAAGAAATAAAGAAAAAAAAAAAGAAGTGCAGAATGTTTATTGTGTTTTTTTTCTATTGTGTTTGTGAAGCTTCTTGTTCTTTTCTTTATGGAAGAGGTCGGGGTTGTAGGCGCTGATTCGGGGCAGAGGGTTCATGTCAAGGAAAAAGTGACATGATTTTACTTTTTTCAATTTTGACCAGCCAGACAAATATTTTATATACATTTATAAATATTTAAATGTATTTATCAATAAATCTTGACTTATAATTCATATAATA